TTTTTTTTGAGAGGTCGCGGCTAAATTTGTCCTTATTACTCAGCAGAGAAAGTTTTTTGTTGTTGTTGTTGTTTTATTTTTTTATCTTTTCCTTATTTAATGGACCCATGACAGCACGTTGGAGCCCACACAGATCGACCGCCCGCCCAGGCTTTAGGATGCAGGAAAAAAAGTGAAGTTCGGTCAATACTCTTAAGGTCCTGACGGATTTACTGCGCTTTAAATGTAACTCAGCGCGAACATACAGCAGGTTCCTAAGCCCAGGTTGACAGCCGGAGGCTGGTCTCCAGAATGTGAGCGCTGCGGGTCGGCCTTTCTGTAAAGGGACGTTCTTGAGGCTTGGCGACGTTATCTCTGGCTGTTAGAGTCGTAAATTAGGTATTTGTAAGGTATTTGGCTTGCCCTGGATAAATAAAGACATGCATGTCCCTTAGCCTTTCCGTCCGGCCCCTGCGCTGTTCTAGTCTGTGAATAACTTTGCCCTGCTCACCTTGCACCTCCTGCTTTAGCTCTACACTGAAAATCCAGGGCCTGTAGTCTGAGAATGCCTTTGGCAGCAGAAGCAGATGTAATCTTTGAGGAGCTTATCCTTCCCCACGTAAATGAAAACGTCTTGGTACTTAGGCATCGGTGTCTCATTTCCTTTGCAGGGATATGAAGACATCAGAATGTGGCTTTGGGCCCTTTCTGTGCTCCCCAGCAGAACCTCAAGCTCACTGAACTTTCTCCCAGGTTCAGTTTAAAGTTAGGGATGCAAAATTGGGGATGAGGTCACTTGGACATCGGCTATTTTGTGGAAAAGGTGAAGATTACTGTTCCCTCGCCCACTCCTTTTGCCGCTTCCGTTTCCTGTACTGCAGTTCTCCTTGAAAACCCCGGCCGCAGACTTCCCTCCACGTTGCCCCGGCCAAGTTTCCTCATTCTCTCCAGTTCCTTTTGCAAGGTGATCACCTGAGTCTGGCAGTGTCTCTGACCAGAGTACTGGTCTGGCCAGTGTCACGTGGGCTCTGCTGGCTAATTAGCTTATTGCTGTCTATTTGATAGTGACTAAAGGGCTGAATAGGATCCTACGCCAGGTCTCAGATGTTTAGTTTAAGCAATACGGAGCCTAGGCTTGATGCAGCTCAGAGTTAGGTTACAGAATGCAGCAGAATTTTCCCGTGGTAAAGATTGAATGGGGTGGAGAACTTGAGCTGCCAAGGAG